ATTTTAATAGATTAAAATAGGCACATTGATATACTTTAATGGTGAAACTGTAATTTTTCATGATTCTTCTCTAACCTTCTACTGTATATTTTACTTTCCTTCCCTCACCCATTCAGCTATACTTCATAGGGATGAACTTTGTGCTGGGTCAAGAATGAGCAAGATACTGGGTCAAATGGTCAGGAAACTTTCAGGCTTCCAGGGCAGAAAGGCATTAAACAAACTCCATGAATCATGATATAATTGAAACCATGATAAGCACTATAAGAACAGTACATAATAGAAAGGAAAAATTTAGGTCCAAGAAGAAACCCCTTGAAGGTGATACTTACAGTACTATTAGATTGCAGATCAACTAATTCAGCCTGTGAAAATTTATGAGTGGAAGGAGGGAGGATGGAGTGAAGTTGCAGATTGAGGTGAGAGAGGCTTAATGTGTTTTAAGGGAAAGGAGAGGGCCTCAGGCTTTCAGGACCCTAAGATTTTGAGAACTGTTTACAGTGAGGTCCAGAGGTGGGCAGAGGCCATATATAGGATTTGAGATGTTATTCATTTTTTTTAAATTAATTGTGTGTGTTTGTGCGCACGCGCGTGTGTGCAGGTGCAAGTGTGTGTGCTGTATGTGTGTGGCTATCAGAGGACAGCTTTAGAGTTGTTCTCTCCTTGTACCTTGTGGGATATGGAGATCACACGCAGGTCATCACACCAAACAAATGCCTCCACCTGCCAAGCCAGCTAAGTGGTCCAAGATTTTATTTCTTAAACATAATTGGATACCAATAAAAAAAGAGAGGGATGACAAAGTAGATTGTTTTGAATATTATTTTTGACTGTGTGTGGAAGGTACAAGTGTTGAGGTGGGATCATCATCAAAAAAAGAAGGGAGAGATCAAGAACACTGTCAAAAACACCCCATGAAACACCTGTGGGTGAGGTGGCCCAAGAATGTGTCCTGCTGTAGTAAGGCCTCATGTGATATGCCTACCTGGTGAATTAATTGTTCTTTGTACTAACTTCACTATTTGTTTATTTTTGTCAAATACACTGTACATAAATGTAAAAAAAAAAAGGCCCAAAAGAAAAAGCGTATACATATCTGTAGGAAGAAAATAAATTCTAGGTGAAAAGCATGGATAATATCCTCAGAAGGGTCAAAATCTTGGCTCTCATGTACCATAAGGGAGTTCAAGTTTCTTTAAGATGAAGATACTGAGGTTTTAAACCAAAAAAAATTTAGTTGTCATTAATTATGGGGATTCATTAGAAACTAGAATTATGGTAAGATCTCTGGGAAGAAAAGGGTACACACTGTGTCTCATGTATTCCAACCATCAGTTTAAAGTGAGCTGACACGGACTCTCCCGCTTTCCTCCCTCTGTCTATGCTGGAGACAGAACTTAAATCATCTCAAATCATAAACACAGGCTCTACCACTGATTTACATCTCCAGCAACCTCCTACTTTTTCTAGTAGCATTATATATGAGAACATTTTCTCTAACATCACTATGTTTACATCATAGTTTAACTTGCTAATATTCTATTGTCACAAATAAGATTCATTGAAGTTTTTATTTCAATTATAAACAATCCTTTTGACAGACAGACCTGTTGGTACAAAAATGCTTGTTCATATTTTAATTTTATTTAACATAAACTCCTAGAAGTGAAATTATTGGATGACATACTTTAAGGTTCTTCATATATATATCCCCTTACCCCTCCCTCTGTGTATGTGTGTGTGTGTGTGTGTGTATATATATATATCTTACATATACATATATACATGCATGTTCAGTTGTTCATATAGTCCCTAAGATCAGTGAGAGACCTAGTAATATCACTTTCATTTTTAATACTGGTTCAATATCTCTTTCTCTCTCTCTCTCTCTTCTCTCTCTCTCTCTCTCTCTCTCTCTCTCTCTGTGTGTGTGTCTCTCTCCCCTCCAATATGGCTAGAACTTTTAAAATTTAATCAGTATTTCTAAAGAGCACTGCTGGTTTAACCATTTATCTGCTTTTTACTCTATTACTCTCAGCTCCTATCTTTATTTTTTCTTGGCTGTTGCAAACGTTGGCTTTAACTTACTCTTGTTCCCTAGTGTCTTCTAATGGCATTTTCTATCTGACTGGCCACCTTTCTTCTTTGGAAGTGTACACATTTAGTGTTGCAATTTTTTTCAATACATCTTTCAATTGATCTCACAAATTTTGATAAATTGTTTTTATTTTAATATAGCTAAATATTTGTAATTTCCTTAGGATTGCTTCTTTGACTCATCCTTGGATTATTTAGAAGCATGTTGCTAAATTTCTAAATATTTAAAAATTTTTCTGTTGTTGATTTCTGGTTTTATTCCATTGTGGGTAATTTTATCATTTCAATCATCTTAAGGTTTTTCTTTAAATTTAATGCCCAGAATATAGACTATTTTGGAGAATATTCAATGTGTACTTGAGAAATCTGCATAATTAGCTGCTCCTGGGGACTGTGGGAAATGTCAGTTAGTGGCTGGTGTGCTGCTCTAGACTTACATGTCTCACTGATGCTGTTCTAGTCTCACATCTCACTGATGCTGTTCTAGTCTCACATGTCTTCACTGATGTTCTAGTCTCCTATGTCTCACTGATGCTGTTCTAGTCTCACACGTCTCACTGATGCTGTTCTAGTCTCACACGTCTCATTGATGATGTTCTAGTCTCACACGTCTCACTGATGATGTTCTAGTCTCACACGTCTCATCGATGATGTTCTAGTCTCACACGTCTCACTGATGCTGTTCTAGTCTCACACGTCTCACTGATGATGTTCTAGTCTCACACGTCTCGCTGATGCTGTTCTAGTCTCACACGTCTCACTGATGATGTTCTAGTCTCACATGTCTTCAATGATGCTTTTGCAACTGTATCAAAGACTGAAGGAAATCCAGGTGTTTCTAATTACAGGTCTACTGTTCATAAAGAACTAACAAAACCATAAAAGTTTTGTTAGTACTTTTTGTTCTGTATGTTTCATACTCTGTTAGAATTTATTCCTTCCCTTCACACGGTTTCTTAATGATTTAAGTATCTACATTTCTTTTCGTATAAGAAATGTGGAGATTTAACTATATCTTTGAGTTCTAACATTTTATATTGTAAAAAAAAAAAAAAAAAAACTGTGAGAGGGACCTGGAGAGATGGCTTAGTGATGAAGGGCATATACTGCATTACCAGAGACGGGAGTTTGGTTCCCAGCACCCACAATCAGCTGGTTCGCAATGCTTGTAACTCCAGCTACAGAGGCTCCAATGCCCTCTTCTGGGCTCCATGGGCACCTGTACACAGGTGCACATACATACATATGGACACATACACATAATTAAAAATAAGATAATCTTTAAGAAAATTTTCAGAATCTTCCACATTACTGTGAAACAGAAATCTAAAGTAACTTGTTAAATTATGAAAGAAATTATTTTATACTTCCTTTGAATAAACAAACATGTCAAATACGAAAAAAAGCTTTTTTCCCAGTTCATATATATCTTTAATATTAAGAAAATATTTATTAAAAAGGAAGACTTTGCAATGTTAATAATCTCAGACTTTGCTTTTGAAAAATTTTTATATATTTAAAACAAAGCCCTATTTTAAGTCTGAATAACCTGGTTAGCCAGAATTCTCTGCAAAAATTCTCTGACAAGAGAACATGCACTTCCTGGTATTTTCCCTGGGCTTCATCCACTACTTTCATCACCCACATTTTAACTGGTTTCTTAAAAGACCTTCCAACTTGACTAAATTTCTTTGCTAAGTTGATATC